CAGAGCACAGATCTGTTTAGTGGGCAATCTCTCTCCAGGGCCTACCTTCCGATTCACCACTCTTTCCTTTTTGTTTTGCCTTCTGCCACCATGGACAGCAATCTTTTGATTTCTCAATCAACGTCAAGTACGAGGAGTGTTGCTATTCCCAGGTTCAAGGGGTCATCTACTGGTCCAGAGAACTGTGAAAGTCCTGACTGACTGAAAGTGCACTGGGGAACGGTCCCTAGACTAGCTGGGGATCCCAAATCCTGGAGAGCGCTGCTTGCTTGCTTGCTTGCTTGCTTACTCGCTCCCTCCTCCCGCCTCCCTAGGAGGAGGAGAGCAGGAACACGTCTATCTCCCGACGGCAGGAGTGACTGGCTGCCCCTACGCGACAACCTGTGGGCCAGATACCCCACCCTGCCTCCTTAGTTAGGATTTCAGGAACCATGTCGAGAAGGGCTGTATCTCTGGGGAAGGGCCCCTGCTTACTTTATGGGTGGAAGGTTCTAGTTCAGTCCCTCGTGCCTCCAGATATAGCTGAGAAAGGCTTCTACCTGAGAGCCTTGAGTAGCACGGCTGACCTTTGCATAGTCAGGTTCATTTACTCCCACCCACAATGCATTGCTACAAACAGACCAATACATGCTTGCTGTTGCTGAAGCCCCTGAAGGACGAGATGCTGGACAGGACACCTAAGGAGCCTTCCCTTTGACATTTACCATTTAAATAAGGAGGAGGATTAGGGCACCAGAACCAGCCTAGCCCAAACTGGGATCATCAGAATACAGAGATAATATATGTGACAGAGTTGATAGCTCTTTCTAGGAATAAGCTAGAAAGATGTGTGAAAATGCAATGTTTTTGATACAACTAAAAAAATAACCCCAGAAAAAATCCATTATATCAAATTAGGCCATGATTTCATCTAGGGTCAAAATATCCGGAAGCCACTAGGCTGAGAGAATCCGTGGTATGCTAGTGATGCCACATTCACTGTGGCTGGATGGATCCGTTCAGTTACATTACATGCCATGGAAAGCTTCATAGGTTTATTTATCCATAATCCCTCTTCTTTATCAGTATGTGATTATTAAAACATATATCTAAACCTGAGAAGGCCAAACCTTTTCAACTCAACCATTTGTTCTATGGGATGGGGGCACAGGGTTGGGGAAACTACTGTGGAAGGACAGGCCATCGAGTGCCTACTTTGCGTGCAGAAGACTGGTGCTCCAGATGAGAGGTTTAGCAAGTGGGCCGCACAAGAGACACCTCAGCCAGGCCATTGAGCCGGACCCACCAGAGGAGATACAGCTGGAAGAGAGCAATTGTCCCGACATAGGACAAGGCAGTAGCTCCCCCTGTTTCTAGGCTGTATCTCCCATATTCCTCCAGACGGTAACAAGGCCCTGGAGCAGAACTAGCCTGCAGGCAGGGAAGGGGCCAGCCCAGCCTCTCTGCTGCCTCTCCAGCCACCCTGCTATCCTAGTCCGTCCCTGTTGAGAAAAACGCCCAGCCGCTCACTCACCCGCCAGCGAAGAGCTTCTCCACGTATTGCCGAATGAACTCCCTCTGTTCTGCTACCGCCTCATCCTTGGATGATTCTGTGCTTTGGTTGGATGAGGAGGACTCCGAGGAGGAACGGCGCTGGTGGCTCCAGCTCTGATGGGTTGGTGAGTCTGTCGTGTCATTCTCGCTGTCAGCAGATTCGGTGGCATCGCTCTCCTCAGCGACCACAGCCACATCCGCCTCCTGGCTACCCAGCAGCAGCAGCCCACTGCCACTGGTGGCAAGCGGGGCAGTGGGCACAGATTCAGATGTGTCCGTGGTAGAAGGCTCAGAGTCAAAGTCAATAAGGTTCCCCACAGGGACATCAACAGCCTCCATGACTCCAGGAGAAAAATGTGCCAAACACCGTGGATTGGGGTCCCGGACTCTGCCTCCAAATGTCCCTATTGGGTGAATATGGAGGCCATCAGATGGCAAACAATGCCAAAGGAGCCTGGGAATGGTCCCTCTGGCTGTCAAAGCATCCTTCTCTCTCTGCCCAGTCTCTTCAAGGCATCTAAGGGGGAGACAAAGATGTAACAGCTTCTTCTGACAGCAAGCTTTACAGCACTCAGAAGAAATCAGACAAAAGGAATTCAAAGGAGCTCTCCAGAGTGCTGGCACAGCCCTCCATTTCACTGACCATTTAATGCACGAGGAGATGTTCAAAGTGACACAGAGAAGGAGACAAGCGCCCATCATCTTCACTGTGATCCTGTCAAGAATGTGACCCCAGAGGCTGGGCAGGGAAGGGCCCCTCTTCCAGAGGAATGTCCTTGCAAAAATAAGCTCCATTTCCCACCTTCTCTTGGGTAACCTTCAAGTGCCAGGGCAAAACCTCCCTTTTTTGGGAACACTTCAGCCTCTGGTTTTCATTTTTAATGTAGGGTTTACCATTTATTGCTGGCTCTCTTTCAGCTGGTTTATTTTTCTTGCAAAAAATTATGCATTTCATTTATTACAATTGTTTTATGTTTGTAAATTCTCAAAGAGCACTGCTAGTTAGGTGATGTATAAAGATTTACAATGAATGGAATAGTTCATGTGAGAATGTATAGATTGAGCACCAAAAGAAAACTCTCATGGGCTCCAGCAACATTCATCTCTGTAGGCAGAAATTGCAAAGTCACTGACTCAGCACCAAGATGCCCTGGCATGCTATGAAACCTGGTGCTCAGGCAGCAGAAATGCTAGCATGGTGGAGGCACTAATACAGTAGTTAAGTCAACTATTAAGAAAGAGTCTTGTGTGTATTCACCATGTTTCCAAACGTTCTGATTTCTGCAGCCTGTACAAGTGATTTAAATTAGTGGTTTATTTTGCATAATTTATTTGGAATTCACCGGAGTGAGGGAGGCTACCAATCATGGAAGTCCCTGATGTATTTCCTCTGTGTGTGCCTTCCACCCCCTTGCAATAATATTCCAGGCACGTGGAAGCTGGGCTTTGCAGTCTTGAGGGCTGATGACGTGATTAATTTTTTAAAGGGCTGCAGTTTACTGGAAGGAGAATTCAGTATCTCATTCAGAGTCCCACACTGCGCAACCACAGCTCTCAGCTCTGCAGTGAACAACAGGTAGCTCGCCACAACTGGACCGTAAAGGTACAGTAAGAGCCAGGTATATGTGGATGCTCCCTCGTCTGTTTAAGTCCATCTCCCCGCTAAGCTAGAGTAGTCCAACACCTTCTTTTGTGAGCTGTTTTCCCACAAGGTTAACTTCCAAAACCTTGAATTTCAGTGTATTTATCTCCATCTATTTTTAAATAACACAGCCTGCCATGGGACACACTGGATGTCCAACAGCTGGTAACTCCCCGCCTCTGTTTCTTGAGCCTGGCACAAGAAACACTTCCTGTAAAGCAACAAGACGTCTGGGAAAGCTCTGACGGACGAGTAGGTAGCACACGAGCCTTCAGTGCAGGGACTGCAATGTGAGGATAGGTGTTGTCCCAGTCAGTGCACAGCATGCCAAACAGCCCTGATCCTGACAGGGGATCACATGAATGAGTGTTCCTCCAACAAAAACAATTCAAAAAGCCCCCCCCACACACACACAGATGCTTATCACCAGCCTTCACTCTCACCCCTTCCCGGTAGGAGACCCTACAATCTACAGGGAGGGGAGGGCAATCTCAGTTTCCTCTGATCTCAGATTGCATTGCCCTTTCCCAAACTCCTTGTTACACACTGAAAACCAGAGTACATCTGTGTGGGGATGTTTCTCTCTCAGACAGATGCCACGTCCAGCCCTCTGTCGTCCAGCAGCAAATGGACCAAAGCAACTGGCAGCCACTGTTGAAGAAAATGCACTTTGTTCTCAAAAGCAGAAAAGCCACAAGAGGCCCCTGAAGAGAGTAAGTAAGAGGATGCCTCCTAAAATCCAAGGGGCACAGTTGTCGTCCTCTACGGATCAGGGCAACTAGAGAATCTGCCTCCCTCGTAGGCCTTCGGGGGGCTAGTCTTTCGTATCAACATAGAACTGCTTGCTGGAGATACGAGTGCTCGCAGAGGACAATACTTGATAGACGTATGCTCCCTCCTGTTTTGTGTTTTATTTCGAAGCCACAAAACGAGTCACGTGAGCAGGTGGACAGAAAGCTTGTCTCCAGGTCTTTGCAGAGCCAAATTAATGCACAGGACATCACGCCCTGAACCTCGAAAGGCCCGGGAAGCTATTTCTGGACTCCCACTCTCGGATTCCACAGGGACATCTGCTGAGCTCTGGCCAAGACTGCCAGTTGGGAGCGTTTCCCTGGATTAAGGAGGCTTCCTGCCCAGTTCCGAGGCAAGTGGCTCTTTGGCTCACTTGCAAAGTGGGGTCAGGGCTAGGATCTTTTCCTGTCCTTGGGGCAGTTTCGCTACTCCAAATAGGCTCCCACCTTCCTGAGGCTCTAGGAAGCTGAACCCTTGGTTCTGATACCAGCTGCTTCAACCCTCCTCCTGACTCTTCGGTTTGTGGCTGCTCCTCAATACCTGCCGGTGGCTCTGCTCCAGGCTGGGCGCCACCCAAAGCCAATTGTGCTCCTCCTGTCAAGGCGGGGCAGGGAAAAATGGAAGCACAGCAGCTGCAATTTAAATGGTCCTTCTTTCTCCACCACTCAGCCATTCAGAGAATGAAGACGACTCCCTGCCCAAAAGAGTCGACTCTTTTCCCAGCTGGGTTCCCGATTCTCCTTGCCGCCTGCATGACAGACTTTCTCCCTCCTTCTCTGAAACACATCATCATTACAAATAATTGCACACGTTCAAGTGCCAGGAGGGGATGACAAACAGCACTGGAAAAGGCACGAAGCAGCTGCTGGTGTCGGTAAGCAAAGGCCCCCCTGTTGTTGGCTTCTGACCAAGTCTTTTCAATCCTCCCTCAGTGTGGAAAGACGAGAAAAGAAAACCAGCACTTTCTGCACAAACCAAGCTCAAAGTCTCAGCGCCACAGCCTTTCTCTAATCAACCCAAAACCTGTTCCAGCCAGTCGCTGGAAGCACAAAGATCTCCTCTATCTGTGCAGCCAACTGGCTTGACTGTGGAATAGGCTGGAAATGGGAGAAGGAGTGCCAGGAAGATGGGACAGGAGCGCCCATTTCGGAATTCCAGCTACACTGTCCCGTCCCCAACATCCAAAGCTCCATGATAAGGAAGTGGAAGCCGTTGAAACCAGCCCCATGGTTAAGAACAGGAAGCACAGAAAAAAATGGTCAAACATCACACACCCGCATTTAAATGAAACTGAGAATAGTTTGTGAAGCAAGGATGCTTGAGGGGTGGATGTCCTGCTTTGCTAAGGCACTGGACTCCTGGCCCTTTCCTGGTCTCTCCAGAAGACCCGAAGAGGGAGCAGCAGTGGAAGGAAGGAGGACAAGAAGAAAAGATAAAGTAAATATACTCAACTATGATGTAGGAGAGAGAGCAGGACATTTTGTCTGGGTGTAATTTTGTGTATAGGAAACAAAGAAGGTGGGATGGGGGAAAGAAACAGGCAGAGGACCACCGTCAGTTGCCTTATAACCCTGGAATATTTAGGCATAAAAATGGCCACAATAAGGAAAGCAAGAGGCACCCAAATCTTATTTCCTGGTGGGTCAGAACCAGCATGAAACCTGTGGACTTTGCACCTCAGCATTGTAATAACTGTAAAAAGTTCCTTGTACTGTATTTTATTTCCTTACTTCCCATTTATTAAAAGCAGGCAACATGCTCTCTCTGTGCATCTTTCAGATCTCTCTGGCACCTGCGGAAAGGCACACTGTGTAAAACGCACTCTAACACACAAAGACAAGAAACAGGAGGAGGAAAAGAAGACTCAGCACATCCTGTTCTAAGCACTCCAGCGACCGTCACCCACTTGCCCATTGCTGGCGTTTGCTGCACACCCCAGTCCTCAGATGTGCCCTTCCAGGGGAGCAAAGCAAGGCTGCTACCCATCAGGCCTGTGAAGCCAGCTGCACTTCCCCCTCTTCTTAGGATTGCTTAAAACCAGCACCACATGGCACAGGGACGGTCTCTGCCTAAAAGTATCCCTCCCACCTCTCTGGCTGAGAGATCACATGCAGGCATTTGCTTCCACGTATTCACTGCTTGGAAATAAATAAATAAATAAATAAATAAATAAATAAATAAATAAATAAATAAATAAATATCTTTCTTTCTTTCTTTCTTTCTTTCCTTTCTTTCTTTCCTTTCTTTCTTGGGGGAAAGACTATAATCTCCAAAATCACTGGCTATAATGACTAGGGTTATCTGAGAGTTGCAGGCAGAAAAAGGAATAGTTCCATTGTCTGCGTGGAGATGCCAACATGGATCAAGAAGTGAATGGTGCCCATTGGAGGAAGGCAGGAGGGTGACGGCCTTGGGCATGAAGCACTTTGCAAGCAGAGATGATCCCTCTGCAGTCTGCTTGGCACAGCTGGTCTGAAAATTCTTCTCGCTTTGCACTGACCAGAGAAAGAGGAATCGTGCTAAGCCCAGGATCAACAAAGCCAGAGAGCACAGATAATGACCATGTCAATGCAACACCCTCCTCCTCCTCTCTCTCTCTCAGGGAGAGAGAGGGACTCTGTAGAGAAATCTGGGACAGTGGCTTGAAGGGAAATTACACAACTGGTGACTCATATCCAGTGACATTTAAAAATACAGGAGGGGGGAAATGTCTTACCAGGATTCAGGAGAGGCAGCAGCTTCCTTCTTCTGGGAACAGCTTAGGAGGTGAGCTGCCTTCGATCTACCTTATAAACTGTCTTGCTCCTGTAACCCTAAGACTCAGGATCCACCGCAGGAACCAAAAAAGAGGCCACAACAATATTCTAGAGACCTGGAGCTGTTCAGTAGATTAAAGTCTCACAGCAGCTATGTCATGTTTTTAAAGGAACTAAAGAATTAAATGTTTAAAGAAGCACATGGAGAAGACCAAAGGAAAGAAAGAAAGAAAGAAAGAAAGAAAGAAAGAAAGAAAGAAAGAAAGAAAGAAAGAAAGAAAGAAAGAAAGAAAGAAAGACAGACAGACAGACAGACAGACAGACAGA